TTTATTCTCATTAATATTGCCTACACAAATGTTTTCTGGACATAAAGGAAAGTCCGAATGTAAATCATGAAGTTCATCTGGATATTCCAAATCAACTTCTAAAATAAAACCGAAGTCTGATGTCTTAGACACATTAAATTCTGTATTTGGATTTACCCATTCGAATCCACCAGTAGGAAGATATTGAGACATAGCCCAACCATATAAATTGTTGGCATCAAAATATGTGATATATGAATTTGGTTTCCCTGTATCATAATCCTCCATGTATTTGTTATTAGCTCTAGCATAACGAGTACTACATTGAGATACACCACCTCTGATACCTGATCTAATAAATGCAATTTTCTCATAATCTGTTAAAAGTTCTAATTCTATTTTTGTATATTTTAACATTGCATCCCAACTTAAACCGGGTGCTGTGTAATAATGGACAGGGTCTAAATCATATGTATTAATACATAACTTTCTAAAGTTTTCAAATACATCGGATTAAAGTAAAACGTCTGTTTTTAAATATAGGTTTGAATAATCTAGCATATTACAACACCCAAAATGTTCCCAAACATCTTTAGCATGATTGTAATCATCATTTGAAATATGTGAATCTGTGAGTGAACTATAAAAACATTTTTGTTCAGGGAGCGATGTTAGACTTAAACTATCATAATTAGTCATAAGTTCATATGGATAAACACCTTTCCGTTTTAAACGAAAGAAATCTTCATCATTAGGGTAATTTCTACGTAATTCTTGAAATTGATCATTACTGAGATTTTTGGCCAATTCTTCTAATTTACACGATAAAAACTTAAATGAATCTAAGAATCTCAATATAATTTCGTGGTTATTCACTTTTAATTTTTTGGAAAAGGATATATATTTTTCTTTATTATGAGGGATAACTTCGACTTCACCATCACAAAAGTTTAACGCGTGAACAATAAAATGAGCATCATAGTGACTAAGGTTGTGTAAAAATATTGGTATATAACTAGGTGTTCTGATCTTCGAACAACATGATTCATGAGCAACACCTATAAAACTACCAGTGTACCAATCAAAATCATAAAAATGTTTTGCCAACTCAGTTTCACAAATATGACAAATGGTTGCATTTGAAATTTGGTTTTTGTCTTCATTTGTTAGCGGAAGTGGTGGATATTTTTGAAGTCTATTTATTTCTTTTAGATTGTTAGATAAACTTTCCATAAACACTTGTGCACAGTTGGGTCCGGAATATGTTACATATTTTGATAATTTATCATCATATGAACATTTTATATAATATCCAAAACTATGTACTTCATGTTTCTGAATATTATGAGTGAAAGGTTTGGAAGGATCGTTAGAACATGATTCTATTGGTTTTAAAAATGCTTCAAAATCAGCATAAACTACGAATGGTATCTTTAACTTTTTTTCATAACTATCAAATTTAATTTTATCATTTGAAATAGGCTGACCAAACCAATTCTTTTTTTTAAAGTTTCACTGTTTGGTAATATTGTACAAATGTGGGCACAATCGTATTGTTCATGGTTATTTAACCTTTCCTGAGATGGAAAACGAAGTAGACATGCTTCACAAATGTACATGATGTGACCGTCTTTTGAAATTTGTTTACTAACTAACCGCGATAAATTTTTTATATAGCAATAATGATTTTTTGTATCCTTGGAAAAAAATAATAAATTGATATGTCTATCTTTACGACACTTTGTTAAAAATAATGGACCTACTAAAGAATTACATCGTTTTTCTTTATTATATTCTAACCCAAAAACATTAATACTAATATCATTTAATTTCTCTACTTTTGCTATGTCAGAAATTTTAACCGGAAAGGAAATACCATCAAATTTAAGTTTATTTGCATGTTTAACGTACGATGATACCCGATCGGTGTGTTTGTTTACAGGATATAACGCCGAGAGTAACGCCCATTTAAAACAAAAATAATCCTTGTTTTTTACATTTATAACAGCCTTTTTTAATTTTATGTCACGAGGAAGATCTATGTATGAAGTACCGCGTAGGGGGTTAAATTTATTAACATTCATGTCTATAGATTTTATGTTTTTTAGACTCCATCCACTATCTTTTTTTTCGAAAGCACTAATTTTAGTAGTAATTGTATCATTTAAAGATGAAAGAAAAATATTTAAGTCATCTCCTTGACAAATAATATAGTTAAGCGTTTGAAAATCGAACGTATCATGAATATCTTTAGTTTGTTGAACAAAATCAGCATGCAATATGAAGTTTACCTTAAAAATTATGTGTTGATGAATACACTCTTGTAATAAAAATAAAATATCATCTTTAATAGAATTTAAAAATAGTTCAGGAGTTTCAAAATTTACCCATGTCGAACGATCTACTCTACTCTTGATTTTATAAGTTAAAATCCTATTTCCAAAAGCAGATTCAATAACACTAACGTTTGATAAAGAATTATGTGAATTTAAAAGATTATTTTTATGAACATTACTTTTAAAATGATTAGCTAAATACCGTTTCTTGATAAATATATGGCACGTTGGACATTCCACTTGATCATCGTTACTGATACTGTTCCCTGCAGAGGTATGCGCTTCTGCTTCCGTTGTTGGTTTTTTGATGATCTTGGATTCTCTGCTGCACGTTCGCTTCGTTCCTCTTCCAAGTTGTAGTGGTTGACTGCTAAAATGTTTAAATTTATTAAAAACTGTATAAGACAATATGTAAATTATGATCGAAATGAATGTTTATTTTACATACTTAAACTGTGTTTCAACCATCGCACAGTGATGACACAACTCATCATCGTATGACGAATCGAACAGTTGACCCCTCTCCATTTCTTCACAAACTTTAGACAACTCCTGATTTAATTCGCTATTGAATAGTTCCGTATTCTCTTCCATGATTGTGGAGAAAAAAGCACTGGTGCACACTTCACTGAAGTTTTCCCTTCCTCTTTTTTATTTTTGATTCAGCTTCAAAAAAATGATCAATCGATTGCGATTTTCTTTTTCCACCATCGCATGTGTTATTATTAATGACGAGGTCATCACTCTCTTCTTGAGGGGAGAGTGGCGAGTAGTAATACTGTTTATAGGTATCTTCATCGAAGCTCAATGATTTCTGCAACAACACAGTTATCATGTTAATATCAATTTGTTAACACTTAATCATAAAAGTTAAAAAAGTTAAAGTTACAGCCTATTAAAGTCCACTGCTGAACATAGGCCTCCTCTCATTTCTGAGAGGGTTTTAGAGCAAGGAAATGTCCGCCGCGCTCCCTCAATGTGTGTTGGCGAACTTCACATGCCTTCGAAATTTTCTCAGACATGCAGGTTTCCTCACGATGTTTTCCTTCACCACCAAGCACGTGGTAATAAGCACTTAAAATTGCTATTAACAATTTAATTGGTGCTGGCGGGGATCGAACCCGGGTCGCGTACTGTGAAATTTACAGCTAGCGCTAACCATCTGAGTTACCACGGCTTAATCATATACATACACAATATTTAAATAAAATAATACACACACATGAAAATAACAGAAAAAAAGTAATTTAGTCAATAGAATAAACACTTACATCCATAGCCTTTGGTGTATTGAAGTAACACAAAATGTACTATTGATAGATCCACTGTAGCCAAACGACCGTACACTAACTCGATGACTGCGTTTGTTGGTCTTATATACCACCAGTACGTAAAAATTCTAATCTAAAGTATTTCCGTAATGAGTTGATAATTACTTTATGCGTCAACCAGTTTATCTCACATTTCCGTTGCCTATCTCAACATTTCTTCGTATTGTGTTTTGTTTGGTGATCAATGACTCAAGTACGATTTGTATAACACAAAAATGCAATTTAATATTTAGAAACATATCAGTTTATCTCACATTTCCGTTGCCTATCTCAACATTTCTTCGTATTGTGTTTTGTTTGGTGATCAATGACTCAAGTACGATTTGTATAACACAAAAATGCAATTTAATATGTAGAAATCACTATAATTGACCATTCCTATGTTATTCATTGAGTAGCTAGGTACTGTAATAATCTACTAATAGCAGTAATATCATGGATACACTAGATGTACAACAACATCTGAAAAAGATTCACCCCAGTCTAGAAAATAATGTTTATGCAGCTAATAGACTGCCTATGTATACCCACGTACCAACGTATATAATATGTAATTTGGATACAGATGATAAACCAGGGTCACATTGGGTAGCTTTATATATCGATACGAATGACGTCGGTCAATATTTTGATTCATATGGACGATCACCTGTACGATATCATCTAGAGTTTTTAAAAAGGAATTGTAAAAGATGGAACTGGAATGTTGATAGGATTCAGAATGAGTGGACTTCAGTTTGTGGCGAATATTGCTTAATGTATTTGCTATATAAGTTTCAAGGATGTTCAATACATAGTTTTACGAGTATATTTACAAGGAACACATTGTACAACGATATTTTAGTGGATGAGATGTTTCGCTCCTATTTTATAGATAATAATTAATAAGATTTTGTATTTTATAAATAAAAATTGTAACAAAATTATGTAATGTGTTTTATTGATGATTCAGATTAGCGTTGTATAATTAGGAACAAAGAATACAATAGCACTGATATAGTCGACGCACACGCTGCAATGAAGGTGATTAATGAACAATAGAACAATAGAAATAGGAACAATGGGACGCTAATGACGGTGGAGGCCCTTACCGGATATCAATTAGATATTAGCTAATTGATCTACACATCTCCGGAACCGTGCATTCTACACAAAAATGGACCGCGGATTCGTGATCAGAGCATGCCAAAACCTTTTTTTTTTTTTTTTTTTTTAGGATCGGGTGTCGACGAACGTCGTTAAACCACGTCTGACTCAGGTGGTCTAGAAGTGGTACAACTACACTACTATCTTTTCCTTCTGAGTTCTGTATTTTTAACCAATTAAAGCCAGTTTGAAAAAAATAGGTACTTACTTGGTGTTATAAATACAATGTGCAGCCGTAAGGACGATCTTAAATGTAACTAGTGACCCACCACAAAATGAAGACCAATACATGCCAGCATAATGTTTTTTTCTCAACACGACCTGAATGAATAACAAACAAGTGTAAAAGTTTTCCACTGTAAATAGGTTTTAATATAACTAAGGGATTATACTATATAATTATATTAAGTGTGTACATTATGTATGTAATTACCCTAAGATGAACACCAAATAAAGAAGTTTACAGAGTCGTTGCCGCTTCTAAGTCCTAAGACTAAGATAGAATGCCTTATAGACTAAAACACGTCATAAATACATTTTTTCGGAGAACAATGAGAAACGAACATACAATCTATCTATCTATACATATTATAAATCTGTAGAAAAGTAGTGTCTGTAATTCTAATATATTCTTGAAAATACAAGTCCAAATAAAGGTTCTGAAGCTAAATTAGTGGTTTTTAGAATTTTTGTCTGCCTGTCTGTCTGTCTGTGTATTCCAGATTCACGCAAAAATTGCTAGATCGATTTACATGATTTTTTTTTATGTAGGTAGTTAGTAACCGTTCCGTACCCGGGGCAACTTATAGGCTACTTTTTATCCGATTACGGAACTTCAAAAAAGAATGTTAAGTATGTTCCTTCCTTTAGATGTTAATTTTCTATTATATCTTAGTTATAGGCAGGATAACTGGTACAAATAAATACCATATTTATAAATAAAGTTTAAAATATAGTTATAATATTGGTAAAATAATTTGAAGCTACACCGATTTAGTTAACAAAACAGTGCCATCTATCATCAAATGGAAAAGTAATATATTTTGTCTTCAGTTACTAATAAATTAAATAACATAAATAACTTATACATTTATATGTTTAAATAATTAAAATTATTTAAAATTTTTAACGTTTAGTGTTTTAGTATTTTTGTTATTTTATTTTAAAAGTGTAATAATTTCAATAGATAATTACGTCTATCAAAAATATTAGAATTGATAAGGATTTTATTTCAATTACTAATCTATATGTAAATTGATTAAAACTGATCTGTCTGCAATTATTGCAAAATTTTCATTATCATTATAGTTTTATTAAAGAGATTTTTGTATACGTCGTAGCCAGATCATAGAATTGATCCTATATCATATAATAGTCTATCATTTTGTACAATGGTGTGGTCATTTCATGATATTTAACACTGTTTGTTGACCATGTCATGATATAGCTTGACCAAATCAATGAATAGAAATAGTTTGAAGATATTATTAACTAAACACTAAACTAAAAACGCTATTTCACGATATGGTCATATGACAATATCAATAAATATTTTTCACCGCTAGCGGCGCTGATAGCTTATTTTTAACAGTAACAAAACTTTTAACGGAACTGACATCACTTTATGCTTTATAAATAAATGTTCGTTTCTATCTCTGATATTACTGGAAAGTATAGTTTTAGCTTTCATTATTTCATCTAATAATAGCGCCATCTACTTACTTAATAATAAACTAAAATGCTCAGTCACTGATAAAATTAAATAAAAGAATGCTACTGAATATACGATGTAAATAATTGAAAATTCATTCATGTCGTCGTTGGATGTGTAATTACTATATGTAGGTAGATGTGGTCAACAGTCATGCAAATGTCATTTTTATGAATTGTATTTACACAAATACGAGGGCCGTGTAGCTCGCCGTGAGATTTCTTAATGGCACGGGAGTAAAACGTGTACGATTCCCTCGAGGATGAAACTGTTATAGAAAATTTTACGTGCTGACTTAACACGTGTCCGTTAAAATGGTGAAGAATAAGTTTGTGGGAATACCTAGATGTCTGAGTAATTAAAATAGCCGTTGAGATGTGAAAACCGTTAACATGCATTGAAGCATTGCAGCATACTCAATTTTTCTCCCCACAAACACTATAGGTAATAAGGAGCTCTGTGCACAGTAGTGAGACGCATAATAGATGCTTTACTTTTTTACCTTTAATGAGACTTATAAATCAGTTTATAATTTAAGATAGCTTTCATATTTTTAGACATATTAAGATATTTGTAACAGTCTTGGTTTCATAGCTCATATGAGTATATGTAAAAGAACAGGCTCATGCGGAAAAATACTTTAATTAAAGAAAGCAGATTTTACTTAAACAAAGGTTAATTTTATTTTACTTGTCAAATGTGATGATCAAACTTATTAAAACTTAAATTTCATGGTACGTAAGCATTATTATAAATTTTAGCATATATTTTAATTGCAATTTGAAGTGTCGATTTACCATGTTCTCGGCGGTAAAGGAAAACCTGCATATCTGAGAAGTTTTGCAATGAGGTCATCCCGCATTGGAATCAGCGCAGCGAACACTTTTTTGGCCAAAAACTATGCGACCTGTGTTCAGTAGTAACATGTATGTAAACTGCTACTTTTTTGTTTCTCATGGGGCAATATATATGCAGTTTTTATTTCATTCATATTTTCGGGTATTTTTATTACTTTTTAGTTTTCACTCTACCGTAAATATTAAGGTTTTAAAAGATGAGTAAAACTCATTATCGTCAGCCTATCATAAGTCCACTGAAATGAACATGGGCTTCCCCATAAATTGTCAAGTAGCTGGATATTTGCTATAGGTGCCACGCTTGGTAGGCGGGTTGGCCACCGCAGCTATTATTATTTTGATCTTTTTCTTTAACGAGCATGCAGCTCACACTTTTACGATGGTAAACCTTTTGTTTTTACAGGAGAGGAGGCAAACGAGCATGTGGCTCTCCTGATGGTAAGTGACTACCGCCGCCCATGAACAACTGCAATACCGGAAGAGCCACAGATGCGTTGCCGGCCTTTTAAAAAGGAGTAGGCTCTTTTCTTGAAGGTCCTAAGTCGTATCTGTCCGGAAAAAACGCTAGTGGTAATCGATTCCACAAGGAAGTTGTGCGAGGAAGAAAACATCTTCTAAATCGCACAGTGGTGGACCGCCAATCATCCAGATGACATGGACGGTATTGCGAGTTTTGTCGCGATGTCCGATGGTGAAATTAAGCGGCTGGAATTAATCCGAACAATTCCTCAGAGCACTCCCCGTGGTAGATGTGAAAAAATACAAGTATTCGGTCGTCGACGATTCGAGCGGCTCTACGCTGGATGCGGTTAATTGGAAGGAGCTGGCACTGGGGAGTCCCAGCCCAGAGATGGACACTGTATTCCACGTAAGGCTGAACCTGCGACTTGTAAAGTTGCAAGCGGTGTGCCAGCATGAAATATTGTCCCGCTCTACTGAGCACGCCAAGCTTTTTAGAGGCCAATTTGGCTTTCTCCTCCCAGTGAGTACCAGTACCACGAAACTGCAATTCACTCGATATGTCGACGCCAGGATTCCGATATTGGTTGAGGCAATAAGGGGAGTGCCTTGAAACTGAGGAGATACGACAAAGGGGTTCTTTTTAGGCCTTTTTGCGGTAAACGCGCAAACTTGTGTCTTCTGAGGATTAAACTGAACTAAATTCAGTCGTCCCGAATCCGAGACTTTGTTCAGCAAAGACTCGACTTCATACACAGGTTTGATTGTTCCTCTAGTCATCGCGAGTCGAGTTGGATGCAAAAAGGTAGCCTCTAAGGTCGGCTTTCTCTTTTGCGGCGTGGGCCAGTGAGTCATCCTCCTGTTCAGAGATGGTAGTGATGACTTACAGAAATTCCGCTGAACAGTCTTGCCGAGAGACCAGAATTCACGGGTTCCTGAAGGAAGGCGAACTAATTTCATGCCAGTGCGCTCATACTTTGCCTTGGCAATTACTCTTTTGAAGGACCTAGAGGCGAAGTTAAAGTTCTTTTTAAAGAAGGTGCTGCTGTTTCATCCCGAGCCGCCGAAGCCTCAGCCCAAACTCGATAGCACTCCTGCTCCGGCCACCTGCACTGACCAAGAGAAACGCAGAAGCAAAGTCTCTACTTTACGTTGGTATTCTGTGAGGTCGTGGTACTGCCCAGGTTCGAGTCGGCCTGCTCAACCGGGGAAGGACCACGCCCTCACAGAATACCAGTGTAAAGTAGCAGCTCATTGCTGTTGTAGATATCATGTAGAGTGTATGCTCATTTGTCACCGTTATTCTATATATATATATATATATGTGTGTGTGTGTGTGTGTGTGTGTGTATTATGTATAGTATATGCTACTTAACAAGCATAGGTTTGTAGGTTATTTGTAATGATATATATTTTGAAGTGTATTTTTAAATATGTATGTTATGTGAGTATTTATACATATATGTAAATATATGTACATAGATTTTTATATTAATGTATACATATTATATATTTAATTGCTTTATAGCAAAAACTTAAGTTTCTCTGTTTCGCTCGTCGTTGATATTCCTAATAATCGGAATCTGGTGACTGCGTAATGCAAACATAGAGACACATGTACTTATCTAACAGAAACCGATATAACTATTTGTGATAGAACCAGAGGCAAACAAACACGTAACAAATATTGGCTTTAACTTTTATGAACCGCGGCGTTATAGCAAACCTAGACAGAGGATACATGATCAGCAGACGCGAACAATGAGCCAAACATATACCATATTAACGTAGAAGTATAGATAAGATACAAGTGGGTACTCAATACGATACGCCCGATCAAAGGTGCACCCAACCTTACTTTCTGTGCTGAATATCATTAAAATATTTTTTCAAAACTTTTAATATGCAACTGCAATACGCTTTACAAAAATAAAAATTCCAACAATATTTTTATCGCCATTGCATTGCAGCCCTGGAGAATTTTTTTATTGACTCTTATTGCTATATATTCGACCGAACAGCAGCGTTGACACATCTAAAGATGTGGCAAGATTAATTTACATTTCTTTTACTATATATTAATTTAATTTTTGACGTAACCAAATCAGGTCGTGTCTGAAGTGTCTACTTTATTTGCTTTTCACCCTCAGGAGAAGCGCTTAGTCACTTAAAAATATCGAAATATTAAATACATAAAAAATTATATCTCATCATAATTAAATACCAAACTGTGAAAACATTAATTATTTCTTATTTAAGATTCATACATTCTATGTTACCTGGTAGGGAACCAATGAATTTTCAGCCTTTTCGCCTCCTACAATTCTAAGGGCACAATAATCATTGATGGGCTCGTATTTTTGATTTTCTTTAATGACATCCTGAAGAAAAAAACATTTTAAATTATAACTAACATTCAAATAATGAGATAATATAACGTGAATATTATAATAGGCAACAATTTAATAACCGTAACAGTATCTTACAGTATATTATATTTTGTCACTACTACTAACTGAATTAGTTACATTCGATTAGGGTAAACAGGAACACTAATATATTTTTAAGAGATCTAGATTCGAAACCTACCCGAAATATGTTTGCTGTACCAGAGGTTCCATCTAATCATAGATCAATGATAAGACTTATCATTAATCTATGCATCTAATATTTTACTTGAGGCGTAAATCAGCTACCACTGTGCTTCGTAGATTACTTACAAGCCTGCCTTCATTAGCATTGCTCAGGATCCCCTTTTAATAATTTACTGCGGATGCGATTTCTTATACTATTCATTGTGATATTTATGTCAATATACCGCCCATATTTGAGGTTCGAAGATAATTTAACCCCTAATAACTGAAGGCCGTCAGTGTATTCCAAGGATACATTCCAGAAAGTAGGAGCCTTTTAGCGATGAAAATTTTAGACTTTGTATTTTGGAGGCGTTGAATCTCACAAGACTGCCTGCCGTGAGAGATTCGCCGGGAACCCGTTTCCACCTTGTCGTGACGGGGGGTGGGGGGTGGCTTAGTAGCCGTGGCTTGGAACCGGATTTAGAACCGGTTTGGCGGTGAACAAAGAGGAACCCACATGGCTGGCCTGAGGTGAACGGCCAGCCTGAGGTGGCCACTCCGAGTAGGCTTATCAAGTCCACTTAGGAAGTTTTGGTGGGTTGCGGCTATATGGGTAACCTCTCCCCTTACCGTTGCAGCCGAGATGGAGTCACGGAGGAAGAAGAGTGTTGGTATGGCGATGCTCCACTCGCCCTATCTTCCGCGATTCTGACGGGGCCGCACCGTTGATACGGTGGTAGTGGGGCTAAGGGGGAGAGGAGTGTCAGTATTGCGAGACGCCGCTCTCCCTACCCTCCGCAGCCGAATCTTGGTTGGCAACAGAGCCTTATTCCGCCGCTGGGGTCGGGAAGGCTAGTGCTTCTGAATGCTTTTTTTCCTGGGTCTGCCTATATGCGACGAAGGTGTAACACCATGGGGTTTTAGTCGGTGCGAGTCCAACATAACCCGTCCTTGTTCAGATCGCGTCCAGATCTCATAGTCATGGTCTCTAACAGGTGGCTTAACTATCCAGTATTTTTTATAGATGTAAAATTGACCGTAAGTATCGTCAACGGTGCTAAAAATCTCGTACTGCAATCGCCAATCTGTCTAGCAAGCGTATAGATATAGTAAATCCGTCCTTATACAGGTGTGGCAATATCCAGCAGTGGGCTGTTGATGCGCTGTGGAGAAGGAAAAGAAGGATAACTTATGAGGTAACCAGATGTCAGCAGTTAGTCCGCCACGCTATTCCAGTGCGTTTTGGCAGAGTTCACATATCTTTGAAATATATTTATTCCTCAGACATGCAGGTTTCCACATGATTACCTTCTACTACTACCTTCGGCACTAAAAATTGCTATTAACTATTTTATTGGTGAAGGCGGAGATCTAACCCAGGTTGCTCACGTACGGTATGATTCACGGCAAACACTCAACACAACACAAGCTACCGCGGCTCATAAATATCAGCAGTGATCATGATATTGGTAGTTTCAATGTTAAATACATTTGTCATATACCTACATTAAGTTCGTATAAAATACTTTAAAAATGCAATTACATATTGGAATTTTTAGAGAAAATGGTGATCAATGGGAATTGTAAGGTTTTCAGAATAATTAATATCTATTTATGATGGAATTTGTACCTATAAGCCATGGCCTAGCCCTACATGACAAGATGTAGGAAATTCTCGGAGATGATGTTGTTCTACCAGTCTTCCTGATTTTAAAGCAACTACTCCACCTCATCATCACTAAGTTTTTCCCCAAGGGTGAATAGCAGATGGCGCAACTCTGCTAATGTTAAATTGTTATTGAGTGCCATCTAAGTCAAAGTGGCATAGCCTTCTATGAAGACGTCAGCTGTATCACCACCGAGATCAATTTCAAAGACTGCATTATTACCTAACATTATTTTAAAGGCATGTAAGATTAGATGCTAAAAATCAGCAATTAATTAAAAAAAAGAGTACTTACAATAAAATTAAGCGTACTATTAGTAGAAGGGATTTCAACAAAGGGCACACCATGAGTCAAAGTTCTCTTATGAAATAAACACAGAATAATAAGCAGTGCAGCGAATTTACAATGAATATTGTTCATTAAAACATTTTATTCGTCAGAAAAAATATAATCCATAATATTATCTATACATATAATAAATTTGTGGGAAAGTCTTTAATAAAACTGTATTGTTATTTTTAATAAGACATTTAGTTTTTATCACGGACGTTTTATATATGTATATATTAATTTCTTCAATGACATTAGCAAAGAGAATATAATCATTACGTTAGAAACCTAATGTCGTAGAATGTCGTCCATAGTGTTCTCTCAGTAATTATAATAATTTAAGCTCTCAGTAATTATTAAATATAATCTCGTATTATATATGTTAGTGTGTACAACAAGGTGTACACTGTACACTGATCGTAAATACAGAACACTATTACAATCTAACACCAAGCTCTACCACCCTACCGAGAGATCGAGATATCATAAACTTGGTGACTTCCATTATACTTACTCTACTCTTTAGTAATGATTTTTATTCCTATTGATAAGTTTTTCTAATGTTCTATCATATCCATTGAATAACATGGGCCATCGCCGTACTGGAGTAAATTAGCCATACGCAAGCGTTCCCCTCTGTCAAATCACGTGGACACTAGTTTTAACTAGTAGTACCCACACTGCTCATTAGACTAAATGACAAACGGTTAAGAATACAAAAATCTGAAAAACGGTTGAACCTGTAGGCCAGTTCTGTAATTCCCCGCTTATTTTCGAGCGGAACGCTCGAAAATCTATTTAATTTTTGTTTTTATTTTTTGAAAATCTTTGAAATGGCTCGATCAATATACTTGAAAATATAATCAGTTCAAAGTGTCAATGAACACTTTCGAACGCCATGCCCCCATCTCGATCTGTTGGTTCGTTCTAAAGATATCATACGACAAAATTTATATATATGTATAAAATTTTATATACATACATATATATATATATATATATATATATATATATATATATATATATATATATATATATATATATATATATATATATATTTATACACACACACACACACACACGCACGCGCGCGCGCGCACGCACACACGCACACACACACATGTCTCAAAACGTAGTAAAAATGCCGAATTGTTTAGTTTTTTGCTGCAAAAAGAGATCTGTTACGTCAAATTTACAAAAAGATGGTGTTATCTTTCATATAATATATAAGTAACTTCTTTTTAAACTTAAAAATTACAATAATAACGTTCGTGTTGTTTCGGATTTGTTTACCAACACAGGCCGCTTGCCCTCGTACATAGGGTTGCCATCTGTCATGTTTGGCATTTTCGGGTTGTGTCCAGCCAAATTTTTATGTGTCCGGCCTGTTCGGCTTTTGTTAGACTTTTTGTTATTGTAACGCGTTACATGCATCGCTTGCAGAATAAATAAATAAGTAACGTATACACTTGAAACTGTGCTGTGATTGATTAATAAACAATTAACGTATGTAACGGAGTATTTTAGTTTTTTTTTCTCGGGGTGTTGGAGTTGGTGACTTTTTTGCCTGCATGGCCTCAGAAAGGTATGTTTGGCTAAAATTACTGTCCGGCTTTTAGGGCCAAAAGTCCGGCTTTTTGGAGCACCGAGTCCGGATTTTCCTACCTAACCTAACTTACCTACCTTTTTTTTTCGTGGGGAAATCCTCATGTATACCTCCGGCTGCGGGGGCTACCGGAAGGTTATGCCGGACTCCTACCGGCTAAAACCCCACGGTGCCTCCTCGCACGTGCACGCGGGGCCGCGGGAATCCAAATTCTTCCGCAGCCCCACACTACTGCTGGCCCGGTCTGTCCGGGCCTCGTCTTCTGCACGGGGTAGCGAGGTGTTCAGCTACCCCCCTCCACAGCCTCCAACTCCACCTGCGTATCGGACCCCCCCCGAGTCTGATTCGCGGAGGCCATGGGGCCAGGAAAAACTAGCACTCAGAAGCACCAGCCTTCCTGACCCCAGCGACGGATCTGGTCTATGGCTCCGCCCCCAACCAAGATTCGGCTGCGGAGGGTAGGGAGAGCGGCGCCTCGCAATACCGACACTCCTCTCCCACCGCAGCCCCTCCACCACCGCATCAATCGACGGTGCGGCCCCGCCTGAGTCGCGGAGGATAGGGCGAGTGGCGCATCGCCATACCAACACTCCTCTTCCTCCGCGACTCCACCTCGGCTGCAGCGGTAGAGGGTGCGGACTCCCCTCTCACCGCAGCCCCCCGACACACATCCGAAGTGGGCTCGCCAAGCCCACTCGGAGTGGCCACCTCGGGCCGGCCCTACACCACGGGCCAGCCAAGGGGTTCCTCTTTGTTCACCGTGGGTGACCAAGCCACGGCTACTAAGCCCACCCGCCACGACAAGGCGGGAACCCGTTCGGGGGGGAAACCCGTTCGGGGGGGAACTTACCTACCTAGCCTAACCCTACTCGTACAACAAATATGAGGATCGGTCGAACGACTGACCCGAGTCTGTACCCGAGTTGTTGCTGCCATTGAGCAATACTATTCTGAAACATAATATATTCATGTTAGTTTATTGTTTTAATTGTTATGTGTTAGTTTCGTAGTGACAGGCTATTATTTTCCTATTGAAATTAGGATGTTTTTGAAGTTATACTTCTTTTGGGGGGTTAGGGAAAAATGATGATAGTGAATTTTTACGATGCGCGCGCACACCGACACCTGAAAACAACACCATGAAGTTGTTACGATGCGCGCGCACACTGTCGTCACCTAAAAGCGACAACTTCAGTGGGTAATTGTCTCTCAAATTTTTTTGTTTTGTTAGGCTAAAGAAGTATAACTTCCTACGTGCGTACATAGTTCCTTGGTAGGAATCGGTGTTCTTTTGCGAAGCCTTGTGATCTATCAAATCTGATTTAATGGCGGCGACGACCTTGAACATGTTCACAGACTGCAGACTTTCCGGAGCGTCGGTGCTTCACATAAGCTATATGTTCTTTTACGCGGGCATTTACAGATATTTTTGTTTGCAGGAGTGTACAAGCTTGATTGTTCAGACGGTTTGTTACTATACTTTCGCTTTTTGCGTGCTTAGTGGCGATTGCAGCAAAAAGGTAGAGAGGCGAACAAATGGTCATCAGTGAACTATTGATAAGTTGATGAGGACAAGAGTGTAAGAGGGAAATATGTATAATATGTCTCAACCACGCAGGAAATAGAGTGAATGGGGCTCTACACGCTATTATGAGGAGTCAGAATGTGTCAAATAAGGCACGTATGGCAATTCATAATGCTGTGTTAGTCCCTACTTTAATGTATGGTAGTGAAAGTTGGGTCCGGCAGAAGAAGCATGAGAGTAGAATAAATGCTGTAGAAATGCGGTCGTTAAGGAGTATGCTGAATGACAGGGTGAGAAATAGTGTGATAAGAGAAAGTGTGGTTTGCAAGATGAGGTTGTGACAAGGATTAAGAAAGGAATGCTTTGGTGGTTTGGTCATGTAGAAGGAATGAACGAGGAAAGAGTGACAAAGCAAATTTATGTTGCAGAAGTGAACGGCAGGGTCGAGAAGGGTCGTCCTAGACGAAGGTTTATCGACCAAATCGGCGATACATTAAAAATGGGCCAGGTACTCCTACCCTTAACCGACGAGCGTGTATGCGTAGATATATGGATGTAAAGGAGGCGAGAGAGGTGTGTCAGGATCGCGCCAAATGGAAGTCCGTAGTCTCTGCCTACCCCTCTGGGTGACAGACGTGAGTGTTTGTGTGTTGTATATGTCTCAACCTAGCCTGCATATGATGCACCTTTTAGCAGAAGAATATCACACGACTAACTGATGGGTAAAAATCTACACTAAAACACTAGACCTACGCTCATTTTACAGTCCGGTGATGGCGAGCAGTATAACCATTACATAGTATCGTGCGTCGTATATTGATGGTATCAGTAAATGTAAGTTTGGAAGGCAAATCTTACAACTGTTGGCCAGCTGATACATTCGTTACCTTTAAAACAAACTTTACCACCACACTAGAAACTGTTAGATGTGCTAGAGCCATGCAGCAGCTATATTAGTAGTATGGTTGTAGCACGAAATAGTCCGTTCGACTAGGGAAGGAACACGCTCTCACAGAATACCAGCGAAAAAGCAGCTTAACACTGCTGTGTTTCGTATGGTGAGTGTAGAGAACCGGAGACCCTTTTTACTGGAAAAGAGGCATTCCATCATAGTCCTGACGGGTGACAACGCATCTGCATATAGATACTTTATTGACGATATATGTAATTGTCTATGGGTTACAGCAACCACTTACCATTAGGTGAACCTTGTGCTCGTTTGTCACCCTATACTATAAAATCTCCTGTATTGTGGTTCGTTTTATGCACATAAATTGGACAAGGTGGACGAAGACCCAGACCCGGAACAATTATTTGCAGTCTAAAATACATGTTACACATATCATATATATGTTATATGTAATATAATAACCTCTGGAAATGAGGTTATCGCTACCATGCTATTTCTAATTTATTTAGTGTTGTTAATTATTGTGTAAACTGTACATTTTATAAAAAAAGAAGTCCCGCTGGGTGTCTCCCTGGTTTTCACACTACACAGATATTTTCTGAACCGGAGGTAATTTAAACATAAGAGTGACTTTCAATAATTATTAGATATAATCCATATTGAATAAAAAACTTTTTTTTTAAAAAAAAGGTTCTCGAGTGGCAGCCTCGTACCGGCAGGCGAAGTGTTGGGCGTCCCCCCACTAGATGGAGTGACGACCTGGTGAGATATGCAGGAAGTCAATGGATGCAGGTGGCTCAGGACCGTGCTTTGTGGCATTCCTTGGGGGAGGCCTATGTTCAGCAGTGGACGTGCTCCATGCGGGGCACAGACTACTTAGTGGATGCGGGGTTTCAACACACAGCACACAGCGCCGCAACTTAGTTCTTAGCCACTGCGCCACCGAGCCGGCCAGAGATGGTTTTCCAGTTGTTAGCAATAAAAGGCTAACTAAATGATTAACGTGTGACGCGGTATGAAAAGGATGGAAACAAATATCAATCTTTAAC